TCTTCTACAAGCCTCCTCTGAGCTCCTCCAGAGGGTCTAAGTGTGCATAGCCCATCTCTACGGCTCCACCACACTTCTGTCTTGCCTCCTTCTCCAGCAAGGTCTGGGAAGGTGAGGCTCCAGGAATAAGTGCGATAGAAATGTCCCGTGGATCCTTATCTGATTAAGTTCCAGTCTCTTTCCTCCGCGGCACCCAGACCTCACCTTGGGACATGAGCTCTCGGAGCACACCTTGTAAGCGTTGAAGAACTGGAGAGGTGACTTGCAAAAGGGGCCGAGCCTGCCCCACTCCCACCTGGCACTGTCCAAATAAGCCATCTAAGAGCACAAACGTTGTGTTAATAAGGGACATGAACAAAAGGCCTTCCAAAGTCCAGGCTGCAAATGGGCAGGACTCTCTTTGCCTCCTTTCTTGGCTTCAGAGGGTTCTATTCCTCTAGGCCAGTCACCCTGCTCTCAAGCCCAGCACCCCTTCTCCCTTCCGGGCCTCTTCCCCAAGTCTTCATTGTGTCCCTCCACCTGGTAAATCCTTCACCCGAGCATCACTCACCCTGAATACAGACTTCAAGGTGAGAGCAGAGTCTGCGGTCAAACAGGCAGCCTGTGGAAGGACAGGTGAGCAGAGATTCAGACAACCACACCCTCGGAACGGACAGATGAGTGGACAGGCTGGGAAAAGGGGGGGCAGATGAGTCCATTGTTTCATCCTAGGAAGGGTTTAAGCTGAGAGGAGAGGAGGGAAGAGGCCTGAAATTCTTAAGGAAACAGAGGATCTGGGTTTGGATTTTGAGGATCCGTGAGTCTTGGACTCTTTCTCTAGAAGGCTCAGTTTAGCCCTGGCTGGTGTAGCTCAGTGGATTGAGCGCAGGCCTGAGAACCAAACAACCTCAATTCCCAGTCAGGGCACATGCCTGGGTTGCAGGCCAGCTCCCTGTGGGGCACATGCCAGAGGCAACCATACATTGATGTTTCTCTCCCTCTCTCCTTCCCTTCGCCTCTACCCTTTAGCTCTAAAAATAATCTTAAAAAAATAAAATAAAAGGCTCAGTTTGACTAACTGAGTGATGTGGAAAAGGAGCGTTCCAGACACGTGGGGGTAGGATCGTACACTTCTATTCTCATAGAATTACTATGGGGGAGTCCAGTGGCCAAATCCCTGAGGAAAAGGGGACTTTCCTTCCCAAGTCTCCAAGAGCATCCTAACTATGATGGCCTGGGACCCTGGGACTCGGAAAAGGGTGCGGTGACTCTAAGGCTCCCCAAACCGTCCCTCCTGCGCTTGGCGGCGGGCCGCTGGCGCTGTCCGCGGTGCTGAAGCCCTGAGCGCGGGCTGCCCAGGGCTTGCCTGGAAGCAGTTACGGAGGAAGGAGGGGTGACAGGGCGAGGAGTCTCCACGGGACGTGAGCTGTCCCCCACTCCAGCCTTCACCTACCGCCCCACCAGCACAGCGCCACAGGAAGTATCCTTCATCAGCCGCCCAGCCCGAGGTGCAGGAGGGCGCCAGGCGCGAGGCTGCGCCCCTCCCCCACGCGCCCCCCACCCCCACCCTCCCCCAGCCCATGAGTCAGCGCTGACTGTCCGCTGAGACGTGAGTCAGCACCGGGCCTGGCTGTGGGGAGGGAAGGGAGAGGACCCTGCCCTCTTCACCCTCTCTCGTCCCCCACCCCGGCTCTCCCTCTCTGGCTGGAGACCAGATCACGGCAACGGCCCTCTAAGCTTAAAGAGAAACCCCGACTCTTCCCTCCGCCTGCTTTTCTACCGGGAGCTGGGACACCGATGCTCACGGCCCCGACTCCTACAGCCCCGAGCTCAGGGTCCCCTGCCCTCCTCCTACCCGCCTCTCCACCCTTCAGCACCGGTCGTCACTTCTTTGGCACCTCTGCACGACTTGCTTCTCCCGGGGACTTACTTGTAGCCTATCTCTTAGTCCCTCTGTCCATATGCACCCCGTTCCTCCTCCCAATGCCGCGATCTTCCGGAGCCCACTTCTCCGAGGTCCCGCCCCCGTGTTGCCTGCCCCACCTCCGGGCCTACGCCCCTTTCCTCTCAGAAGCCTTCTCACCTTCCCAGCGCACAGTGCGTGCCCTGACCCCACCGCACACTCCCTGCCCGAGCGTCCCGCCTTCCAGCCACTCCCCCCCCCCCCGCCCGCGCCCCCCGCTGAGTTTAGCTCCCCGGCACCATCCTCCTCCACCCGGCTGCCCTTCTCCTCCTGACCGTGGGCACTAATGGCGCTGCAGCCTCCTGGGCGGCAGCTCAGCAGCAGGAGGCAGAGGAGCGCCCGGAGTCCCCCGGAGCCCCGGGGACCCCCAGGCCGCCGCGGGCGCCGCATCCTTCTGAGCTCCGCGCGCTCGCCCCGCAGCCGGCGCCGCAGAGACGCGGGCAGCAGCCTGCCCGAGGGTCCAAGGCGGGGCCTGCCACTCCCCACCCACCCGAGAGGCGGGGTCTACACGCCCCTCTCGCGGCAAGTCGGCCAACCCAGATCGGGTGGTGACGTCTCCACCTTCGGCTCTGACGCAAACGCTCATTTGCGTCACACATGGCGTAAGAGCTCAGTCCGAGTGTGGGAGCTCCCCGCTCTCCAGCCCTCGCCCACCACACAGTGTGCTCCTCCCCAGAATTCCCACTCGGCCCTACTCGGTTTGACGTATGCTTTCCCCGAGCGCCACCACCTCTATCACCCAGTGACAGCGTTGATGAAAAGGCTATAGTTGGGTGGGGACCGGGAAAGATACGTGAGTGGAGTAGTAAAAACCCTAAGATGAGAAGCAGAAAAGAGAACAGAACAGGTGCTCTTACGCATCTACATTAAGAGCGGAAATGGTTCTGCGTACGTGCCTGATCTCAGTTCTCCCAACGCCACCTACTGAGGTTATGACTTGGGGCAAGTTGCTTACCCTCTCGGCGCTCAAATTTCCTGGTGTGCAGAGTGGAGGGGATAATGGCTCCTAAATCACAGGGTGCTGGTGAGGATTACGGGAATCAAACGCATGGGGGTCCCTTGGAGCAATGATTGCACTGTCGTTTACTAGACAATCGATGAATACTTGCTTTTGCTTTTAGCCTTGACTCTCCCTTCTTTTGCCCTCGTCCACCTCGAGCCTATCAAAAAATCTTGCAGTCTGCCTGCAAAATGCTCTCTCCCCTTGGTCCACGTCTCTCCATACTCATTAACCTGTCTAAACCACTGCGCTCTTTCCTCAGGACTATGGTGGTAATAAACCAGCTAGTGCTTGGCTTCCTCTGTTGTCACCCAATGAGCCAGAAAGTGCGCTCTCTAAACTTCACATTTCATCACTTTACTGTCTTCTCAGTAAAAGTTTTCCAAAATACAAAAAATGATAGTAGTGCATAGTAGCTCTAAGGAAGAGCTTATAGATTTTCTTAGAGTATCGAACGTACCGTATTTTACTTTATTTTTAGCACTTTTGTTTCCTCTTTAAGAAATTGTTTACAGCCATTAGGACATGAAGTTATTGTCTTATACTCTCCTTCAAATGCTTCATCCACAGATTTGCAGAGTAGGAGTTCAGAGAAATGAAGTGCGACCGACCATCAAATGGCTTAAAGTAATGAAATAAGTGTCATTGTTTAACTCTTCACATTGATCTATAATCCACCTGGATCCTGTTAGTGTGTATGTTTTAAGTGACGGACATAAGTGACTTTTCACCTACAGGGTTACCAAATGGTTCCTGAACCATTTATTGGAAAGATTACCCTCTGCTCTGCCATCTTCTTTAAGAAACGCCCACACCACGTGTCTGTCCCTGGCCCTTTGTTTCATGGACCTTCCATCCATCCTTCCATCAATACCACACTTTTTAAATGACTAGTTTCATACTAAGTCTTCATATCAGGTGGAGCAAAGGATGCCAACTTCTTTTCAAAAATAATTTTTATTTTATTCACTCTTCACATTGTTGACAGGTTCATAGTTATTTATTATATTATAACATACCTGGTAAAGTGTACAAACTTGTTTATAGTGATAGAGCGATCATTAGTAGATGTTTACAACTCCGTGACCTCTTAGAGACACTGAATGCTAATACCTGCCTGTTGGCTTACCCCTGTGAATGTCTGATCAGTGAGTCTGATCACTTCAAGGAGTATAAAGCTCTGCAAATCGGATATTCCAGTGTTCGGTTGGGCTGAGCATGGGGGCAGGATTACCCACTCCTTTCAAGATTTTTTTTCTTTTATTTATTCTAGATAGAGGGAAAGGGAGGGAGGGAGAGAAATATCAATGCAAGATAGAAACATCGATCAGTTGCCTCCTGCAGGCACACTGACCAGGGACCAAACCCTCACCCCAGGCCTGTGTCCTGATGGGGAATCAAACCCAAGACCTCCTGGTCTATGGGGTGACACCCAACCAACTGAACCACATGGGCCAGGGCCCTGTTCCCTTTTAAAACTGTAAGCTACAAGGAACTAACTGGCAAGAGCCAATAAAAAAAACAGTTAATGTGTGTACACTTTGTAGCACTTCTCTGTTGATTACTGGGAGCAGGATGAGTGGGAGAGCCCCAGCAAGAGCTGTCATGCCGAAGGTGAAGACGCATAAAACAGCAGGGTGCAGGCCTGTGTGACATGGCAGGGTGGGCAACTAGGCCACCGGATGTAGCTGGGTGACCGTGGGGAGGCTGACCTTCCAGCTGGAGTCCCACCCTCACTTTTCCACTTCAGGACTAGTCATGGGGAGGAAAACAAGACAGAGACCAGCCTCCGTCAGCACCGAGGGGCTGTGCTCTCCATCTCCACCCCTTCTCTGGTCCCCCTTCTCTCACTTCGGAGGTCCTGGCCAGGTCCAGACCCCGCCCGTCCTGCCTCAAGACAAGTCACAGGAAGAGTTGGCATGAGAATCCACTGTAATGACCCAGATTTGGGTCATCTGAGAACTGGCCCCCAGAGGACAATGGGGAGGGCACTGGGCCAGAGGACTTTCACACAGGTCTCGATCAGCGACAAGGTTGCGTCCCACAGTGGAGGGTGGCTCAGAGAAGCCCTAAAATGAGAAGAAACAAAGGACTGGAGTCAGTATGAGGTGAGGCGGCCCCTTCCTCTTCTACTCTTCTTCTCCACGTGCTTCCATTTCAGCCTGATTGAGTAAGCCCGTAGTGACTCAGCCCACCACTCACCTGTCCCCTTGGCTTCCACATATAGTTCACCCTCCCCCCTGCGATTTTCCCCTTGGGCTCAGGGTTGGAAAGAATGACAGCACCTTGTTTGCATTTGCAGAAGCACCATGGTAACCGGTCCCTCCCTGGTAGGTCTGTCACTTAGCTGAGTGCATTGACCCAGCAACCAATCCAGGCTTAGAAAGCCCAAGTGCCACCTTACAGGAATGGGAACCAAGGGAACCGGTTTCCTAGGAGAGCCCGGAAGCCCCCTGAGGTGCAGGCTGCCTCAGGATGGAGTGCGTGGCCAGCCGGGGGCGCTAGTTCCACTGCCACCACCCCAGTCCAGGTCAACTCAAGTCTCCCCAGGATCAGGATGGTGGCTCCTTCCAGGCTTTTTAGTTTTTATTCTTGCTCTTCACAATCCATTCCTTAACATCACTAGAGTGGCCTTTTGATAAACTCATCCGTCACATTATGAAATCCCCTTCCTTAAAATTTCCCAGTTAACTTGCCACTACACTTAGAATAAAATCCAAGTTTTTTTTTACCAGGATCCATGAGGCCCTGCATGGTCAGTCCTGGGCTTGCTTCTCCAACCTAATCTTCCACCCCTGGATTCTCTCACTGCTCCTTGAACCGGTCACAGTGTCCTTGTCACAGAACACTTGTCATTGCAGTGCTTTCCGTCTGAGAGGCCCTCCCTTCATATCTTTCTCTGGCTGCCACCTTCTCATAATCGAGGCTTCAGTCCCCCTCCCCCCACCAGACTTTGGTCAACATGGAGGAGCCCGATGTTCGGAACAGCCCAACCCCTACTGTGGTCCCAGAGAGGAAAGGCAGGGGCTGCAGGGGCCACAGGGGAAAGGGCTGCGTCCAGAGCTGCCTCTGCCCGGAACCTGCTATGCAACTTTGAGCGAGTCCCTTGACCAGCCTGCACTCTAATGTCCCCTGTAGAAAGATAGAAAGGAGTACTGGATGGGTGTTTCCAGTCTAGATTTTGAAGAGTTCAAGCATCTCAAGGAGACATCCCTGAACTTTACCAGCTGACTAGCTCAGGTCACAGAGTAGAGCAGGGTAGGGGTGTGAGTGTGTGCGTGTTTTGAATGTGAAGGCCTCCGGGCTACCTCTCCCACTTATCTAAAGGAGCTTTGCTACCACTTGCTATAAACACGGAGTGCATGGAGAAAAGGAAAAATTTTTACTTAATTTTGAAAACTCTGCAGCTCCATGCTTACACTTGATCCTACAGACCATTTCATTCTTGGAGGCTCCCAGCACCTGCCTCCCAAACTCAGACAGATACCCACAGGTGGTCTGTAGGAGAGAAAGGGAAGGGTACGCTTCAGCTGGGAAAGGAAAGATCTTTCCTTGGGCTTGTCCATTCATGCCTCCATACTCATTCCCTTCTTCATGCCTGGCCCCCTCATTTAAACAGGCCCTTGGGGGTCCCAATCTCACCTTGACAGGGTTGGCCACCTGTTGTTGCAAGGCCTTCGAAACCATTTTGGAGGTAAAGCACTGAACCCTGGTCACCTGGACCATTGGGCTCTGGGAGGAGGGAAGCCGGGAGTCAAGAAGGAGACAGAAAGGGTGGCAGGGCTCCAGAGGAAAAGAGAAGGGACGCAAAATCAGGGATTTAAAATTCTTAAGAAGACATATAAGTCTCACCTTGGGGAATAGGAGTCAAAGTTTCTCCTCTTGCTTACCCCTAGAAGAGACAGAAATGACCAATGGGACCGAGACTTGCTAACATCCACCCCCTCTCCCTTGGCAGGTATCACTAATGGTTCATGGAGCTGTTCCTGGCAGATCTCAGAGAGGACTTCCGAATTGTTCTCACTGCATTTCTGGCAGCTCTTACCTGTAGTGTTAATACTAATTCCCTCCCAGCTCAGTCTGTCTGCCAGACAGCATGGCCTGACCATGGCCTCATGTACCTCACCCCAGAGGTTTTGGTGGGAAAGGATGTCTGCCCATCCCTCAGACAGACATCTTGGGGATGGAGTCGGCTGATGTGTCCCATCTTCTGGGTCATCACCTCCTGGGTGATGTCACCCTTCCGGAACAAACCTTCAAAGTGAAAGGATGGAGTGAATTGACACTTGGGACACTCTAGCCCACTCCAGGGGCCCGGTGAGATCAACACTCCTCTCTCCCTTAAGCAGGTGAACAATCACCATTTGTGGACAGAATTAAATGAGATAGTATTCAACAATTGCTTAGTATAATGCCTGGCATGTAATAATATTCCATTAGGATTAGTGTTATATTCTCTTTGCTGATTCCTTTGATGCTATCCTGAGGATTAAATGAGATTAGCAAGGTAAAGAGCCCTTACAAAATTCTTAAGGCAGTGATTCCCAAATGTTAGTGTGCATCAGAATCACCTACAAGAGTTTCTGATTCAGTAGGTCTGGATGAAGCTCAAGAATTAGCAATTTTTCTTTTGTGCCTTGAATGATGCGGCTCTGTGGGTTGGGCTTCATCCTGCAGACCAAGGGGTTGCTGGTTCTAATCCTGGTCAGAGCATATGCTTGGGTTGCAGGCCAGGTCCCCAGCTGGCAGTGTGCAAGAGGCAACCAATCAATTGATGTTTCTGTCACACATTAATGTTTCTCTCCCTCCCTTCCTCTCCCTAAAAAAATAAAATAAAATCTTTTTAAAGAATTAAAAATAGTTAGCATTTTAAACAAGCTCCTTGATGATGCTGATGCTGCTGGTCCTAGGATGCACTTTGAGAACCACCGCTCTAAGGCATTACACATATATTAGACACCCGTAGTAGTAGTAACATGAACTCAAGGCAGATTTCTCATGTGATCCTCCTCCATTCATGAAACTCTGCTCTAAGGAACAGTCAGACATCTGTCTCCAAGAGACTCTCCACTCCCTTTCACTCCTCACATCTATTTGTCATACAATTTGCTCTTCTTCCCACTCAGACATGGGGGTAGATATGTGTTTTCCATGCTGAGAACTTAAGGATTCCTGGTTCTAGAAAAACCAAAATAGGGTCAGGGGTTGGGACTAGTTTGAAGGAGTTAGATCAGAGGTGTCAAACTCATTTTCACCAGGGACCGCATCAGCCTTGCAGTTGCTTTCAAAGGGCTGAAATAACTTCAGGACTGTATAAATATAACTACTCCTTAACTGTTAAGGAGTTGAAGTTATATTTGGCCCTTTGAAGGCAACATAACTGTTAGATGATGACTTATTTCAGGGACTTCTGCTAGAAACCTCTGCTGGGCTCTTCCCAAGAGTGTCAAGAGCAAACATTCATCCATCTCCACTCCCACTCCATTGTCCACCTTCTCCAGGAAGTGAGCACAACAGGAAAGCTTCAAGTAGAGACATCTGAAGAAGGAAGCTTGTCCTCAGATCAGCCTCCCACTATCCCCACTGCCCTCATGTCTGGCCATGCCCCAGCCTCTGTTGTCCAGGTCTTCCTCACCTTGGGGCATAATCTGCTGAAGTACAACTTGCAAGTATTGGGAGACTGGGGTGGGAAATCCTTGGAAGGGCCAGAGCTGCCCCACTCCCACTTGGCCCTGACCATCTCAAGGCAAAAATGGCATCAGCAAGGAGCTTGGCCAGGAGCTTGCCACGTTCCAGTTGAAAAAAAAAAAGAGCAGCTTCCTCCCACTATGATACCTGAGTTCCCTGGTCTCTCTCCCTCTCGCCAGATCCCTTCCTCCGTTCAAATATTGCTTCTTTTCATTTTCCCGTACCTCTGCAGCCCCTGCACCTCATTCACCTTTGGTACCAACTTCCAGGTACGAACAAAGTTTACAGGCCAAGAATAGCCTGTAGCCTGTGGAGGTTGAGGTGAGGGGAGACTCAGACAGCTACACACATAGAATGCACAATCCGGTGAACAGGTGGGGCGTGGGCAGCAGGTGAACCGATCTTGGGGTAGGCTTTGAGGCCTGAAGGGGATTAGAGAGAAGGCCTGAAATCCTTAAAGCAGGACTGCATAGGGTTTTAGTGTCTGGATCCCTGTCCTGACAGCCACAGTGACAGCCACAGTTAGCCCAACTGTGCACAGGGAAAGGACAGGGGGTGGGAGAGGACAGTCCCTAATGCTATACACACCACTTTTCTTTTCATTTATTTATTTGTAGAGAGAGTGGAATGGAGGGAGAGAGGGAAACATCAATGTGTGGTTGCCCCTCATGTGCCCCCTACTGGGGACCTGGCCCACAACCCAGGCATGTGCCCTGACTGGGAATCGAACCAGCTGCCCTTTGGTTCAATCCACTGAGCCACACCACCCAGGGCTGTACACACACACCTTTCTTATTCCAGTTAGATGTGGTACGGTTGGTGGAGAGTCCGTTTTTTTCCATAGCTGAATTACCATGCGTCGTTAGGGACCAGCTTTAAGAAAAGGGAATTCTCCTTCCCAAATGGATCCCAATTTCCTGGCTTTAGAAAGGAGCAGAAATTCCAGCACCCTACTGAGAAGGAGAAGCATTTCTGGAAGGGAGGATCATTCCTTGAGACATTGCTCCCAGGACTGATAGGAAAAGAGGTGACTAGGACACCCGCGGTCAGACCCACGGGATGCCAGGCGCCATTCGTGGTGCTGAGCGGTGGCCGAAGCCTGGCATAGAAGAGGCTCTGGGTGGTTCAGAGCGCGAGGTATTTCCACAAAGCTTGACCATCTCCACGCTCGCCCCTGCGTTCGCCCTCTCCTGTCATCGCCACTGGGCCTCCTCTCACAGCTCTTCCCGAGTCCTCTGGTTTGGCCTCTAAACCCAGGAATCGGGAGAGAGACCTGGCGTCAGACCGGAGTTGGGCGTCTTCCCGCGCCAGGCGCAGAACCCCCGAGTCTGCGCGGTTGGCCTCCGGCCGCTCGGACCTGCGTCTGCGCGGGTCCACCGGGCTGGCGCAGAGCCGAGCCAGAGGAAAAGGAAAACCCTTTCCCCTTGCATCCGCTCCCACTCTACCCTAGCCCTCCCGCTTCTTAACAGTCACCAGATTGCTCACGCCAGGCTCTGAGGGCTTGGGAAGAAGCCCCGGCTCCTCTCTCGGCCCAAATTCTCTCCCAAGCCAGGACCCCGATACCCGCGGCCCCGACTCCTGTACCCCGAGATCCTGGTCCCCTTGCCCTTCCCTCAGTTTGGGCACCTCTTCCCTGGCCATGTGGCGCGTCTGGCTTTTCCTGTGGTCGCCTAGGTCCCTTGGCCCATTTTCCTGTCCTCCTCCAGAATCTCCAGTTCTTTTAGGTCTAGATCCCCCATGCGGAGCGCCACCCCAGGCCTGCGCCTCTTTTTACATTTATCTTTTTTCACGCCCCCACTTTCTTTTCCTCCACTGTGTCTAACCTTGAGGTGCCCTGACTCACTTCTTTCAGGAACGTTCTCTGGACCTGCCCTCACCCCCCAGGTTTCCTTCTGACCGTGGCCACTGAGGTCTCTGCAGCCCCCCAGGTGGCTCTTCAGCAGCAGGAAGCAAAGGAGCAGGTGGAGCCCCCGCCAGCGTCCCCCCCCCCCCCAGCTCCCGGGCCCCAGGGGGGGCCACATCCTCCCATGCTCCGCGCTCTGGTTCCTCACCTAAGTCTCAGCGAAGGAGGGGACCGCGGCGGGAGAGGCTAAGCAGGGATGATGGGGTTCAGAAATCTCAGCTCCCCACTTGCGGGATTGATCTGCACATTCCTCTCCTGGCAGCTCGGCCAATCGCCGGCGGGCCCTGCCGCTGCAGAGGCCTACCCAGCTCCTTCCGTTTGAGGGCCCCATCCCCAGGCGCCGGCTCCTGTTTTGTGTAGGCCATGTCCCAAGGACTACCTACCGCCTCTGCTCCAGTTCCAGGGTTGGAGAAACGGATTGCACCTAAGATGTGAGTGCAAATTGTGTCTACCTCTAAGGTTGTTGTGAGGGTTAAATACGAACAAGGACTGGACGGTAGGCAGTGTATTTAGTCAGCTTCTATTTTCCCTGACGCTCACTTTACCTTCGCCCACCTAACGGCCTTCAGCATACATGGATTTGACCTGCAACATATACTGCACATCCATGCACTTCTGCTCACACCCCTGCCATCACCCTGGTTCAAACCACTGTACTCTTTTTGCACTAGAGCTATTGCAATAACTAACCAGTAACAAACTAACTAATCTCATTTCCACTCTCGTTTAGTTATAGGTTAGTGTGGGAGCCTTCTAAACCCCAGACTGGCATTTAAATATTTTGTTTCTTAAGTTTAAATTTTTTATTATGAAAATTTTCAGGATTAAAAAAATGAATGCCTGTATACCTACCACCCAGACTAACAATTATTAAGATTTGTTCACAATTGCTCCTTTCTCTTGATAAAGTATTTAAAAATGATTTACAAACATCATAACATTTCACTCCTAAATAATTCAGTACACATCTCTTAGAATTCAGAGTGGTTTCCCTACTTAACCACAATACCATTATGCCATCTGTATAATGGCCCGGGAAGATGTTCACACCTGAATCCCTAAAGGAGATGACATTGCAGGAGTGATTAACCTTAGAGGGGATTAACCTCAGATGAGGAGATGATCCCAGGTTTTCAGGTGTGCCCAAAGTAATAAAAAGCACCTTCATAAGATAGAAATAAGGTCAAAGGCAGTGGTGGGAGATAATGACATTGGAAACAAGAGGTTGGGGCAATGCAAGAAAGGAGCCCCAAGCCAAGGAATACAAACAGCCTCCAGAAGCTGGAACGCGCACACACACACACACACACACACACACACACACACACACACACCCCACTGGTTTCTCCCCATCAGACTCCAGAAGGAACACAGACTTGCTGACACCTTGTTTCAGCTGTCTGATTTCCAGACTGTAGAATAACAAGTTTGTGTTGTTTCAAACCACTAAATCTGACATGACTTCGTACAGCAGCTACTGGAGATGCATATGACATCTAAAAATATTTACAGTTCCTTAGTTCATGTAATTCTGCTTTGTGAGTATTTTCTCCAACTCTGAGCACTTCATTTTAATTTTCTTAGTAATGTTGTTTGAAGGGCAAAATGATTTTGATGAAGTCCAATTTATTCATTTTATCTTTTATGGCTAGTGCTTTCTGTGTTCTTAGAAATGTTTGGCTATCACCTTAAACTTACAAAGGTTTTCTCCTGTTTTTTTTTTTTTTCTCCAAAAAGTCTGGTTACTCTGGCCTCCCAAAGTCAGTCAGAAAATGTTGCCTCTTTGTTATGTCTGAAAGACTCTATATGATTTGTGTTACTTCTTATTTAAGTGTTTAGGGTTGGAATTTCTTTGTGAGAAAGATTTATTACAATTCCAAGTTCTTTAGCTATTCAGATATTCTATTTTCATTTCTGTTTCAGAACTTGAATTTTTCAAGAAATTTGTCTATAACATTTATCACATTTGTTAGCATAAAGATGTTAATATTGCTTTATTATTATTTTAATAACTATAGAATTGAAGCTGTTTTACTTTTTAAATTACTGATTATATTAATTTATTCTTTTCTTCTTTTTGCCCTTACAATTGTAGCTAGAGATTTAGAAATTTAATTGATCTTTTAAAAGAACTGACTTTTGGTTTTATTGCTTTTCTCTATTTTTTTCTCATTTCATTGATTTCAATTCTTTATTATTATTCCCTTTGGGTTTTTTTTTATAGCCATATTTTTTAAAAAAATATTTTATTTATTTTTAGAGAGAGAAGAAGGGAAGGAGAAAGAGTGAGAGAGAAACATCAGTGTGTGGTTGCCTGTCATGTGTCCCCTACCAGGGACCTGGCCCACAACCGAGGCATGTGCCCTGACTAGGAACTGAACCGGTGACCTTCTGCTTCATAGGTCTGTGCTCAATCCACTGAGCTATACCAGCCAGGGCTGTCCCTTTGGGTTTTATTTCTTTTTCCAGACTGTTGAGTTGGTATCTTACCTCATTGATTTAAATATATTCTTCTTTGCAATAAAGGCATATAATTCTATATATTGCCCTCTGAGCATTACTTTTTTTTGTTTTATCACATAGTTAACATTTTCTAAATTTTCTTGTGATTACTTAGACCCATAGATTATTTAAGAGGACATTGCCATAAGGAATTTTTAATGTTTTTGTTATTTATTTATATTTAATTTTGATGTTGTCTGAGAACATGCATTGTATAACTTCAATTGTCTTGACTTTATTGATTTTGTTTTATACTTCAGCATATACTCTACCTTGGTGAATGTTCCATATACCTGTGGATGGAATATGTTTTCTGCACTTGTCGAGTTTAGTGTTCTATAAATGTCCAGTAAGTCATGTTAATTAATGTTCAGTGTTTCTGTATTGGTATTGATTTCTGTCTGCCTGATCCATCCTTTATAACCAAATTTTTCTGTGGAATTGTCTATATTTCTTTTAGGCTCTATCAGTTTTGCCTTGTTTTTTTGGAACTGTTATTCAGTGCATCCATATTTAGGACTGTGATGCCCTCTTGAAAGATGGAGCTTTTAGCATTACAAAATATCCCTAGGTATCTCTAGTAATACCACGTGTCTGAGGCCTACTCTTTCTGACATGGTCACAGCTGCTCTCTGTGGGTCAGCATTTTCATGGCATATCTTTTATCCTTATTTTACTTTCAAGTAATCCTTGCCATTATATTTAAAGTACCTCTCTTGTAGACAAGATATTGTTTGATTCTTTTTTATAAATCCAGACTGGAAATCTCTGCCTTTTATTTGGATTGTTTAGTTATTTATACTTAATGCAATTATTGATATGTTGGGGTTAAATTGTTTTCCATTTGTCTTATTTGTTTCCCTTGGTTTCTCCTGCCTCCTTTCATTTGGAATAATCAAGTAATTTATAATATTCAATTTTATTTTATTGATTTATTCATACTCCTTGGTATTATATTTAAGATGTTGCTTTAGAGATTACAGTAAGCATCCTTAATTTATCACAACTTCTTTAAATTATTATTATGCCTTAAAATGTATACACCTTACAATGTAATTCATTTACGCCTGCCATTGTATATTATTGTTATATATTTATTTCTATATAGTATGTAAATCATACAATACAAAAAAATTTTATCCTCACCTGAGGACATTTATTTTCCATTGTCTTCAGAGAGAGAGGAAGGGGGTGATGGGGAGAGAGAGAAACATCAATGAGTTGCCTTCTTGTACGTGCCCCAACTGGGCATTGAACCCACAGCCTGGGTGTGTGCCCTGACCTGCAACCTTTGGCCCATGGGACACTCCAACCAACTGAGCCATGCTGGTCGGGGGCTCAATACTTTTAAAACTTATTTTTGCCTTCATAAGTCAGTAGACTTTTAAAGACATTGAGAAGACATTGAGTCTTTTATATTTACTCATATATTTGCCATTTCTGGTGTATGTTTTTTATTCCTTCCTTCAGATTTCAGGTTCTATACGGGATCATTTTCTTTCAGTCTCAAGAGCTTCCTGTGGCATTTCTTGAGCAGGTCTGCTGACAGTGACCTACCATACCTTCTGTTTGTTTAAAAATATCTCCATTTCTCTTTCATTTTATTTTTTTAATTTTTAAAAGAGATTTTTTATTTCTATTTTAGAGAGAGGAAGGGAGGTAGAGAGAGAGGGAGAGAAACACTGATGTGTGAGAGATACACGGTTGCCTCTCGCACACCCCCAGTGAGAGGGCCCAGCCAGCAACCCAGGCACGTGCCCTGACTGGGAATCAAGGGGGGCCACCCTTTGGTTCGCAGGCCAGTGCTCAGCCCACCAACCGGGGCCCTTTCATTTTAAAAAGATATATCCACTATGCATAGAATTTTGGGTGTACCTTTTTTTCTTTTAGCATTTAGAGATATTCTCTTGTCTTCTGGCTTATAGGTCTAAAAGACAGTCTTCATTTTTAGTATTGCCTCGTTGAAAGAAATATTTTTCTCTTTAGCTTGGTTTTCAGCAACTTGATAATGGGCCTCTACGTGACCCTTTCGGGTTTCTCTCCCATGGGTTCGCTGTGCTGCTTCACCTGTGGGTGAAGGTATTTCATTATATTGCAAACTGTTGAATCGTTAGCTCCTCAGACACTTTATGGTCCCCGTCGTGTCTCTCCTCTCCTTCTGCGACTCCAGTTACGTGTTAGCCTCCTTGCCATTACCCTCCAGGTCTCAGACTCTGTGTTCTCTCTTTGTTTTGGTCTTTTTCTCTCATTGCTTCTGTTTGGATAATTTCTATCGATCTGATTCTTTCTTCTGCTTCTTCCAGTCTGCTGTTAAACGTATTCAACACATTTTTTTATTTCAAATGTTATTTTTTCATTTACAGAATTCGAGGTTCATTCTTTTTGCATACGTTCTATTTCTCTGCTGAGGTCCCTCAGTTGTTTATCTTTCCTTGTAAATTATTTAACATATTTATAACAGATTTTTAAAATGTTTTATTTATTTATTTTTAGAGAGAGGGGAAGGGAAGGAGAAATACAGGGAGAGAAACATCAATGTGTGGTTGCCTCTCAGAAGCCCCCCACCAGGGGCCAGGCCTGAAACCCAGTTCCTCTAATCGTATGGGTCCTGAACCC